ACACTGATTCCCACACCGTCTTCCCCTCTTCAGGACTTCTTGGGTAAGTCTTTAAAGTTTTTTTTTCTTCAGCTTGTAAAGCATCCCACCTTCGTCGCCAGTGTTAAGTCCTTTGATCGTGGGTGAAAGATGAAGACTCATTGTGTAGTTAACAGCTCTTTATTCGTTTAACAGCAACATCCCAACAATGCAACGGCACACAAGCCTCTCTTTATCTGTCCAGAGACCTGGACACAATGGGAACAAGTAGCAGAGCGTTTTCATGCCCTGTGCATGCGCGCAAGGTTGGCGCCACTCAGTCTGGTCCCGGGCAGCTTTTGGAATGCCCGGGACCAATGCAACATCCCGAGCCTGCTTTTGCAGGCTCAGGACACAACCACAATGTAAAAAAGATGTTGAGACTCTAGAAAGAGTACAGAGAAGAGCAACAAAGATGATTAGGGGACTGGAGGCTAAAGCATATAAGGAACGGCTGCTGGAATTAGTATGTCTAGTTTAATGAAGAGAAGGACAAGTGGGGACATGATAGCAGTGTTGCAATATCTCAAGGGCTGCCACAAAGAAGAGAGAGTGAAACTATTTTCCAAAGCGCCTGAGGGCAGGACAAGAAGCAACGGATGGAAACTAATCAAAGAGAAAAGCAACCTAGAACTAAGGAGAAACTTCCTGACAGTTAGAACAATTAACCAGTGGAACAACCTGCCTCCAGAAGTGGTGAGTGCTCCAACACTGGAAGTTTTTAAGAATAGATTGGACAGCCATTTATCCGAAATGGTATAGGGTTTCCTGCCTGAGCAGGGGGTTGGACTAGATGATCTCCAAGGTCCCTTCCAACTTTATTATTATTGTTGTTGTTGTTGTTATTTATGGTGTAACTAATTCATTCATTTAATCCCATTTTCTTGAACACATGTGGACTCTTGGATCATATATCCTACATGGATATATGATCCATTCTGAGGACTGCTCAGAAGCTACAATTGGTCCAAAATACAGCTATGCCTTGATATGCCCATGTAAACCTCTGCTTTGTTAGCTGCACTGGTTGCCAATAAGCTTCTTGGTGCAATTTGAAGTACTGGTTATTTATAAACCTGTGAAGCCGGGCAGCATAAGAAGGACTCCCAGCAATCTTGCATCACACTCTGATGATGTCAGTAGTGTTGACCGACGAAAGGCTCAGCTTTTAATTAAACAATTTTGTTTTTAGTGTTATCCTGGTGTTCAGATTATTTTATAGTATGGATTTACCCAGGATTCGCATTTTTAACATAATTATATATATAATTCCAATTTGACACTAGAGAAAACCTGAATAACCAAAGATGTGTGTGTGTGTGTGTGTGTGTGTTTGTGTGTGTGTGTGTGTGTGTGTGTGTGTGTGTGTGTGTGTGTTTAATAACACAGCCTTCGATCTTTGGGAGAGGTATAAACCTGTTGTTTATTGACAAAAAGATATTTAAAAACAATAAAAACAACTATTTACAATGTTAAAAGAAACAACTTAGCTTTTGGTGGTCCCCTGCCAGCATCCTCAGAGTAAAGCTTAGGGGGTGGGGAGATTCTTTTTTATACACCTTGCTGGCCTAACTGCTTACTCATTGCCCGTGTGATAGGGCCATCCTTCCTGGCTAACCGTAATTGCCTTGGTTGTCCCGCCTTCTCTTTTTTGCACTCCAATTCCACACCTTTCCCTTCTCTCATCCTTGTCAATCTCCTCCCTCCCAGCACCATTGCTGCCGGTGTTCTCTCTAACCGCTCCCTCCTGCTCATTCCAGGCTGCGCATTCAGATCCAGTGTTCCAAAAGGCTTGCCATCAGCGCTCCCTTCCTTTCTAGCCCATTGGTCTACACACTGTTCCTGCCTTCCGTCATTCATTCCTGTCAGTCTTTTTTTCTCCAATTTCCCTCCACCCCCGGCTGTGTGCACGGTCCATCATGCCTCATCCTTCTGCTCTGTCTGCCCATGACTGGTGGGGATGCCTATCGGCTTGCTCTTAGACTCAGCCCCTCTCGTCTTTGTTAGCCTTATCTCCCCCAATTTCCTTTCACACCTGGCTGTGCATGCGCACAATCGTGTCCTGTCTCTCTGCTCCATCTGCCTACGATCAGTTGGACTATCCGCCGGCTCCTCTTTGAGTCCAACCTCCCCCCCTTTTTCACCCCTTTCCCCCTCCTTCTCCCTCTTGGCTAATCCTATCTTTTTTGGTATCCCTGTCCTATGTATTTTGGGTCGTACGGCCAGGTCCGGCATTCCCAATGCTCCCTCATTGTCTCCTCCCCCCTGCTGACACTGATCCTAACGCACCTCCAGCTTTCCACGCTCCGTCCTTGCCAACCCTGTTGCTTCCAATTCCCCCTGACACATCCTACCCCCCACCCTGTCTGTCCATGGTCAGCTGGTCTGCTTGCTAATCCATCCCCAGATTCATCCTTTCTCCTCCTTGTTGCCCCTATTCTTCCTGACGTCGCCGTTGGAAGTGTGCTCCTCACTCATCTTCCCTCTCCCTCAGTTGTCACCCTAGACCGCATGCGTGGATCCAGCAACATCAACCATTTCCCATGCTCACTTTCTCCCTCCTTTTCACCCCATCCATCCATCTGTGGTTCCAATATTTCACCATCCATCCCTATAGTCCCTATTCCCTCCAAATCCTTTCTTTGCCTAGCCATGCAATGACTGCCTTCCCCAGTTCTGGTTCTGCCTCTGGCAAGCACCATCCGCATCCTGACTTGCTCCTCATGTGTTTTTAATGTCTGGCACGCCGGGGGCAATTCTATGCATTGATTGATCGAGTCCATGTTGGAAGCCAGGCCTCCTTCAGCAAGTGTCCTCCTTTGGAGGCATCCTGGGCAATGGCTTCTGCTCCCTTGAAATCAAATGAGTGCCCACTGTTAACCATATGCGTCCATATTTGGGAATACTGCTCCTGCCTTTTGACAGCCAATCTGTGTTCATGTATTCTGGTCTTTATCTGTTTGGCCATCTCCCCCATATAGTTACATTGGCAATCCTTGCAGTGTACCCCGTATATGACCAATGACTTTTCTTCCTTTGGTAGCGGTTCCCTGGGACGCATCGCTTTCTTCTGAAGTGTTTGGTTGGGTCGGTGAGCCACTTTGATGTTATAAGGCACTAATATGCATGCTGTTGCCTCTGATACTCCCTGGACATACGGTATCGTTGTCCAGGATGTTGTCCCTGGGTCATCCGGTGCCCTGCGGGGTTCTTGGCATTTGCTGTATCTTCGGGTGAAGCTGGTTGGGTAGCCGTTCCACCTACACACTTGATGGAGGTGGGCACGTTCCACTTGCTTGGCCTTTTTAGTGTTACAGTGCGTGTCTATGTGTGCGAATAATGTTTAAACACATGTAATCCTATGGGCTGCTGGATGGTTACTCGTGTAATGCAGCATTCTATCGGTGTGAGTTGCTTTCCAATATACTGTCGTGTGGAGGGCACCATTGGTTTGGCGTGTGACCAACACATCCAGGAAGGCCAAACTTCCATTGGCTTCCTCCTCCGCCGTGAATTGTATGTCCGGGAATATTGCGTTCACTCTTTCCATAAAGGCAGTTATTTTCATTCGTTTGATAATGGCGAACGTGTCATCTATCTATCTGGCCCAAAATTCTGGTTGGTAATCAGCCATTGCCTTAGCCTCCAGGCACTGTAGGACCGCCTCGGCGATGATCCCCGAATGGGAGATCCCATCAGTGTGCCCTTAATCTGCTCATACATTGTGTCCTGGAACGTGAAGTGTGTTTTCAGACATAATTGTAATAACTTGACAACGTCCTCCATCCTAAGGGAACCCTGACTTCGCAATCCCTTTAGTTGTAATAAATCCTTTATTATTGAGAAAGCCAGTTCTTGTGGGATGGATGTGAATAGTAATGTCACATCAAATGAGACCATAGTCTCATCGTCCTGTATCCTCACTGCTTTAAGCCTCTGTAGAAACTCCTGTGAGGATTTTACTGTGATTGCCCTATCCTCCACCAGATGTTGCAGCTACCGACTTAGCCATCTAGCTAGGCCAAACATGGGTGTGCCCCTAAATGCCACAATGGGCCTTAATGGGGTCCCCTCTTTGTGTATTTTCGGCATATACTTTTTATTGTTCACTACCCAGAGTTGCTTGGAGTTCAGCAGCATTAAAATATGCTGCATAAATGTAAATAAATATGCAGTAAATAAATATGCAGTATTATAGTGCCTTTAAGTTGATTTAGATGCACAGCTTTCAGCAATAAAAAGTTCGTGTGGAATTTTATTGCATGGCTGGGGAAGGGGTATTCAGTTCACGGTGCATGTTCTTTGTTTAGGTGTGTAACAATTCTGTGAATAAATCTAGACTAAGATCACGTAATCTGCATTATCTCTAAAAGAGGATTTGAACCCAGACATCTCTTCTCCTAAACCAATACACCATACTGGTTATTTCAGTTATTTTCCTGAGAAGTCACCATGTATCTAGATATATTGGAGCACTTAGTTTAACAGAGCTTGATAAAAAAAAATCTATTCAGGATTTTATTCAGTTACAACAGCAAACCATGGATAACTTTAGAGGTTGCTTAACTTAAAACTGTCATGTACCTCTTAGATTGCTCAAAGGTTATTCCCAATAATGTGTTTATTTCTTTAATTTAACTTTAAATGCAATCTTAAGCTTCTACCAAGATCACCTCCACCTTCCTCTTTGAAGGCAGAGAGGCTCACAATTGAAACAGCAAGATCTGCTATTGCAAAATCATTCATTTTATTCTACACTCCATTACTAGTAGGATATTACCTACTATCTAATTGTCTGCTAATAGATAATACCAAATTATTCACTGCTTGTGTAGGTCCATCATTTGACTGCATTTGTCCTCTATTTCCTCTTCAGAATAACAATTTGTTATGACCATTTGCTTTTAGCAAGACACCAATTCCCTTTATTGAACGTTATTGAAGATGATCTTTCTGTTCTTCTTTCCTTTCTCTTGCAGCAGCCATGGGCGAATGGGGATTCTTGAGTTCCTTGCTAGATGCAGTGCAGGAGCACTCACCCATGGTTGGACGCTTCTGGCTGGTGGTGATGCTCATCTTCCGTATACTCATTCTAGCCACAGTGGGCAGTGATGTCTTTGATGATGAGCAGGAAGAGTTTGAGTGCAACACTAAGCAGGTGGGATGCAAACAGATTTGTTATGACTTGGCATTCCCCATTTCCCATTATCGTTTCTGGGTTTTCCACATTGTAGTGCTCTCAGCCCCAGCTGTTCTGTTTGTCATCTATTCTATGCACCAGACTACCAAGATCAACCGTGGCTTGAAGGAAATTGAAGGAAATCAGGAGGAAGCCAATCAGTCAGGGAGGAAAGTTCAGGAACAATTTGAACTCCAGCCCAGTCAACGAAACCGAAATATTCAGACTTTCTACATAGTCAATGTCATAGTAAGAATCTTGGCTGAGATGGGCTTTCTAGTAGGACAGTGGATGTTGTATGGCTTCCAAGTAGGATATCAATACATCTGCAAGCATCGTATGTGTCCTCATCTCATTGATTGCTTTGTATCTCGGCCAACTGAGAAGACCATCTTCATTCAGTTCTATTTCATGGTGGGGCTTGTTTCAGCTTTCCTCAGCCTGGCGGAGCTAGCTCACCTGTTGCTCAAGAAGCGGTGCCGGAGATGTCATGTGATCACTACTCCTGTAACTACATCATATGAACAGCAGGACAATTGGTCCAATCAGAAACAAGAGAAATCACAGCACTTTCTTGCCCCAGCTGAGGGAGGTACCATAGGGACATCTTCTCATGATGGGATAGCTAACCATTATGAATCCAAGGCTCATTATCATCATAAGAATTCCACCAAGAGCAGCCGATCTTCTCGCTCTTCAGCAAGAGGCGACTTAACAGTGTAAGAGCAGAGAATACTTTCTTGTCTCTTTGTTTTGTTCCCTGGATGAGCTGGATTCTTCTAGGGCTGGAATATGAATGGACCTCTATTTTCAGCTGAAGCTGAATAACTTAGATCTAAAATGCAACATTCTGCACTATGGGACTTGGTCATATTTGCGACAATTCATTATTTACTTTCACATACATATTAAGGGTAGATTGATATGTCTAAAAATGCTTAAATTTACTACCATGTAAAATAAATTGAGAAGGATCCTAATATTTTAGAATAGAAGGAGTAAAGGAATAAGATTATTTTCCAGTATTCTGGGATTTTCCTAAGTAGTTGATCAATTCCCATTTGAAGCTGGAATTTATCTGGCTGTAGAAGAATATATCAGTGAAAAAACAAGCAAGGATACCTTTATTTTTAAGTGAATATACATGGAATTATAAAATGCCAGGGCAAAGAAAATTCAGGCCAATGGATGTCAGAGGTCCTCCCAGTCAGAGGACTATAAATCAGTTAAGGGGTATTAACCATTGTTCAAAAACAAGACTACCTGGTTTCTACTGAGATATCCAGTACTGCTTAATGTGCAAAAGAAAACTGGGTAGATGTGGTGATGGATGCACTCTCATTGTGGTTTATCTTCCAGAGAAATAAAAACTGCCCATTGGCACAGAAAGCATGAGGGACCTTTGCTGAAGAATTTAAATTAAAAAAAATTAAATGTGTGTTTCACATTAAAAAACAATAATCACAGGGAGGGAGGGGGGTTATAATATGTTGCAGAGTAAAGCTTCATTTTAATATGATCCCAGGATGACTTTGAATCCCATCTAGGACTCATGGACTTTCTTTACATATAAAAGAGGCTAGATGTTGTTTTGCTTAAAAATATCGCACAAGTAAGCCAAGAACAGAAGTCATTCTGTTAGAATTATAAAAGGGAACAACCTGATCTAATTAAAGGATTGGGTACAGGGATGTTTTAGGGTAAGCCCAACCCAATCATACATCCCTCTAGGCAGTTGTTTTCTGATTTGATCCATTATATGCTCTCAAGATTTCAAGAATACTTATACCAAGCTTTTTTGCCCATGTGTTCAATGGGAGTTTTTCCTCTCAAAAAAGTATTTAGGATAAATCTGTACCCTATAGCTGTCCCATATTTAATTAAAAAAAACCCTACCAAAGCAGTGTATTGAAATATGGAGTTGCCTTTCGGTAGTTGAATCATAAAGAGACCTTTGAATGCTGTTTATTGGGGCAGGGGCAATCCAACTACATGTAACCTTCATTTAATTACCATTCACACTTAACGATGGTGATGAAAAAATAACTCACATTTGAGACCTTTGGCAAAAGAAAGCTGAAGTAAGATCAAACTCAATTGCACTTTCACTTAAATGACGATTTGCTTAGCAACTGAGTTAGCACTCCCAATTGTGGTTACTAAGCAACGACTACCGATACATATTATGGACACCAAATCTTTGATAGCTAGTTCTGAGAAAAGATAGCATGCCTGCATTTCATTTTGTTCCCTAGCTGTCACACAGCTCCAGAGCTAACTTAGATAGAACAGATAGCGAGAGGGCTGGTTATACTCGGGATCCATCAACAGCAAATCTTTTTTTTTTTTTTTGCTTGACTTATATCATAGTCTCAACCCTAGAAAGCACCCATCTTGGGAACTATTGAGATCTTGGAGGGGGGGCTCAGTAGTGGACTGTCCCTCCACCTTACATCAAAAGTATTGCTCTGATCTCATTGAAAAAACTAATAAGTTTCATCATAAAACTTAAGGCTTCTGTGAGTAATGTACTCATTTTAATAGCTACCTATTACACTGTGTACTTAAATCAATTGTTCAAAAGATTTTAACTATACCATTATGCCATTTATTATGTCCTACATTTGGATAAGAAAAATTAAAGCATTGGGGCCTTTGCAGATTTGCTTCTGCTCTCACAACAAATGCTCATTGGGAATGCACACAGATATCGCAATTACAGGAAATGATTTTTTTAAAGAAATAAAGAGCCAGAAACATTGTACCTATGGAACCGGAGAAAGATGCTAGAGAAAGAGTGAGAAGTAAAAAATAGAGTGGATCAGTCTATATGGAGAAGTGACAAAAGCTTCTGTTTCTAGCTCCTTGTACTTTCTTTCCACATGGTCCAATTTTTTGTCCCAAAAGTCTCAATGGGAATATTTTCATCTGCTTTTAAAAAGAAGTGCAGTTTGAACCATATACATAAGGTGTCTACAGCCAAAGGCAGCATTCTCCAGATGTCTGTATGATATGTAATATTTTTGAGACGACAACATCTTCAGGTCAAATAATTTGATAACTTCATAACCAAATCCATGCAGTGGTAACCAGAGATGGTTTGCCATTTTTTTCCATGATGCTAACTCAAGCTGAACTAAATTCCTGAGGCTAACAAAATTTAAGTGCCATAACGTTTTTCATTCTGGAGTATATCATCTTTTTTAGTCAATGATCAGTTTATGGGAATCTGATGGATACAATGTTAAGCGTTCAACAAAATCTTGTACAATATCCTAGAGAAGAAAAAAAGACAAAATGTGGGCTTGATTAAATTACCATTCTATGGATAGACAACTGGTAAAGCATTCATGTGCCTTTCATACACCAATGTCAAGTTGGAAGGAAACTTCAAATGGTGTACTGCAGGGCTCCATTCTAGAGCCAATGTTGTTCAATTTACTTATAAATGTTTGGATGATGAACTACAAAATACAATTCTGACATTTGCAAATGATACAAAGATGAGTGATAACGAACACCCCATGGAGGACAGCTTGAAGCTTTAGGAGAACATTGGCATACTGGAACAATAGGTAGAAACCCACAAGATGAATTTTGATCAGGACTAATGCAAAATTCTACATTTGAGTAGGAAAAATGAAAGACACAAGGAAAAAGTAAGAATCACATTGAGCAATACGTGTGAAAAGGATTTGGATGTCTCGGTAACTCACAAGTTGGATGTGAGGCAAAAATTTGATGCAGCTGAAAAAATTGCAAATTAAATTCTAGATTACATCAATTAGAAGTATAGTGTCAAGATCAAGAAGAATCACCATTCTCCTATCTTTCTTCTCTATTATGTGTTGGTCATACCACGTCAAGAATACTATCTCCTATTCTGGACACATTTTAGGAAGAACTGATAAACTGGAGCATACCCAAATAGCAGCAACCCAAATAACAAGGGACAGAAGAAAAACTTAATGAGGAACACTTGGAGGCACAGAACATGTTTAGCCTGGGAGAATTAATGGCTACCCTGACTTACCACAAGGGCTCTCATTCTAGAAGACAGGGTGGAATAGTGAATACAGGATTAAAAAAAAACAATGGATTTAAATGACAATAATTTTGGGTATAACACTGGGGAAAAAAACATTTCTAATCCTAAGAGCTGGAATGGATTGCCTTTGAGATGTGGTGGGCACTCTTTCACTGGAAACATTTAAACAAACTTTGGATGGCCATTTGGCAAGGATGTTTTACTGGTGGCTTTCTGCCTTGGGCAGAGGTTGGACAAGATGATATCCAAGGTCCTTCTGACCTTTATATACTATGTATCCTTATGTGTACATAGACATACATAAATAGTGTACATAACAGTTGACCCATGGAGTAGAAGAGGTAGTTGTTTCCTTTTCCTCTCTCTAACCTGTTAATATCAAAATATTAAACTTGGAATATTTCATTAAAAGAAATTCATTTATATATATTTTAAATGTTCTGCACTGGTTTTTTTCTAAATCGTTTTGTTCATCATGCAATGAGCAGCTCAGGGAGGTGGTTTTGGACATGGTCGTGTAGTATGCTAAACCAAAATTGTCAGCCCTTCCAAAAATATATATTTATCCAACACTATTTTTAATATTTCCAGTGGCAAATGTTCCTCTTCTCTTCCCTTGGGGCATTATTTCCTTGGCCAATTGTTTTTAGATTAAAAGCAGTTTTTTTTCTCTCTACTGTATTAACTCTTGTGTAGCATTCAGTAAGATGAGGGTTAATAACTTCAGTCTTTATGCATTAAAGTTAATTCACCTAGTGGGTTACAATTTTGAAAGCATATCTTTGTACTAGAGACAATTTAGTACCTAATCTATTTATGGATGGAGAAGGAATTACACTGCCAAACAGGCATCTTTTCAAACCACAACTGTTGCAGGCTCCAGAATCTCACCCCCTCAAAGCTGTCCAGAAATTGTCTTTTGAACTTTGAACAACAGAGAATAAAAAGATGATTGTAGACTTATTTTTAACCTTATCCTATTTGCTTGATGCCTTCCCTCTTCAACAGAAAAGAGTGAAGAAAGCTGCTGCTCCTAGTTCTGGCCCAATAAGTTCAGTTGTTTAGGCACATTGTAATTCACAACTCTCTATATCACTTTTCAAAAATTCATCACAGACATAAATGTATTATTATTGTTGTTGTTATGGTTAATCTTCGATTTGAGTCATAGTCTGGGACTGGTAAAAACAGTTCAAGTCTTATCCAAGAACCTAAGAGCTGTTAAGATACCGTCTGAGTATATAGGCAGCTCTGAGTAGGGTGGTTTTTTGTAAAGTCAGGATATTCAGGTCTAATAAGTTCAAAATCTCTTTGTATCTAGGCAGCCTTTGGGTATTGCTCCAAGGGCTCCTATTACTATTGATTTCTTCCTCCACAGTCACTCAAGCTCCATATTTTTATATGTTTCTCTTCAATTCGTGCATCACCTACTATTGCAATATCAATGAACCAGACTTTTTTCTTTTCCACGATAGTGATGTCACGTGTGTTGTGAGTCACATGTCTGTCTCTTTGGATGTCCACAAGATCTTGACTTGCTCATTTTCAAGAACTTTATCAATTTGGTGTTCCCAGTAATTTTTGCTGCATTCAAACCCAAACTTCTGGCAAAGCTTCCTATTATTATTATTATTATTATTATTATTATTATTATTATTATTATTATTATTATTATTGATCATCACATAGTCAGCCAGATGTTCAGACTGGATTTGGCATTTTTGTCTACCTATCGAGTCTTTACCAAGGACCTGGGATAGGCAGATGTGGATGTTTGATGGTATTACAGATATCGTCATAGGATGGAAGCAGTTCCTAGTAAGGCTGCCTTTTGCAATTGACTAATAGCGAATTTGTCAATATCAATGTATTATTATTATTACCAATTCCCAGAAACTCTTGATAGTTTACAAATAATTTAAAACATGAAAACAAGACAATAAAAATAGCAAACAAAAAAGGGGAGACATGGCAGAATATCAGACAGGTGGAAACAAAAAACAAACTAGGTTAAAAGGAGGCTTCACTCATAACCACCAAAGGCCTAGACAAAAAATCAGGGCTTTAGGTCCCTCTGAAACACCAGGAAGACTGGAGCTGGGGGAGAGTGTTCAGATTTCAAAGGGTAACCCCTTTCCAGAGGACAAGAACTGAGAAAGAGAAGGCACATTTATAAGGTCCTGATAGATAGTGTTGCTTAATTGAAAGAGTGTGCCAATTCTGCCAGATCGACTGGGCAGGTACTATGAGAAATGGGCATTATGTTAAAACCAATTTAACAATGCCTTAAACAGATCCAATTTGGGAACGTTTTATTGTTAAGTGGGAAGCCTTTACCCTGTCTAATGAATAATAGCATCCCATCATACGATAGAAGGAGAAATATGTTCAAACAAATCTCATACCTGCCACCATCAAGAATAAAAGAGAAGATGGCAAGATCAAACAAAAATACTCTAGTTCAGCATTTTATGTTCTAGAATGGCCAAGTAGAAGGAATGCCTTCTTTTATTCCTGCTCCCCATCAACTATTTCAGATTAGATCTCCAAGTTTTGATTATTATAAACCACTATCTAACCTAATAGCCCAGGGGTTTCTTGGTCCAGGGACAGTTGCCATCTTTGGTCTTGGATGGGGTGGCACTGTCCCAAAAACCTCCAGGAGCAGGTGGTAGCCCTGGCCAGAAAGGGTTAGGGAACCAGCTACCAGCTTCATTTGAATGGGCAGAGGACAGAAGAGGGATATAGTGATTCTCAGTGGACTTCAACCTATTCAAATTGGCCTCAGAGTTGATCCTGGCCTGCATTTATCATTATTGTCAACACTTGCCAATCTTTGAGAAGTTATTATGGGGAATGACCTTCTAAGCTGCATTTTAAATGTAAATGTTCTGAAGGTACACCATAGGTGTGCTCCATTGGTCTCACAGTATCCTGTCTTCAAATCAAGGTTCCAGGGCTGGTGCTATTCCAAAGTAGAGATGATAAATACAATTAAAAGCATTGCTTCTGGGGTTCAAAAATTAAATGGCATCTATTTTAAAGTAAAGGCAAAGTTTCCTTTGAGTCAAGCTCAGCTCCTGCTGACTTTTTTCCTTACATGAAATGATACACATCTATGGTATGATGGATATGTTCTCTGCCTTCAAAAATAATAAAATACAAATAAAAATACATAGTTTGCCATTACTTTTTTCCTGAATATTTTTTGATCCAGTATTTTACTAACTCCTCTTAGCTTACCCAATGTTATTTAATTTACACATAACATCTGCGGGTTCATGGTTTATCCTGTTCATTAGGCAACCTAGTTTTGTTGCTTGTGTTCCATTTTGAATCATAAGAGGGTAAAGAGGAGTGATAGATGGATGGCTACAGATCTCAGGTTGTAAAACAAAGGAAGCCAAAGTGTTTGCAATAAGGAACAATTCCTGTCCTTTGCTCCTCTGTCTTGTGTTTCAATACTACTCACTGCTATTTGGGGGTGGGGACTGCCCCTGTGGGGGGTGGGGGGTAGAGATATGATGGCCAGGGGCCAACCATGGTGCTTCCTGTTGCAAATGGAATGGGACCCAAAACTCAAAGGGGGCTGTCAGGGGAGGAAAGTGAAAAGAAAAACAAACAGAGTCATCTGGCATAGTTCACCCTCCCCTTTGTTCTCATATTAACCCCTTTTTTCTTGACATGCATATATAACTTGCAGTAGAACAATTATGGAACTGAAATATAAAGTATAGATTTTCTAGGTTGATTTGAGCATTTCATATCAGAGCAGTGCAAATAATGTTCTACCACCATTCTCTTCCAATCACTCCACTTGCACTATCTCATTCCCTGTTTGCCCTTCAGTCTTCATCCAGACTTTTGTTGTTGTTGTTTCTAGAGATGATGTCTTTGAGCTTCCTAGTTTTTGGCAATACAGGCTGCTGAAGGGGATTGCATCTTTCCTCCATATACATATACACTCAATATAGCTGCATGGAGCTACTATTGAAGGGAAACAACTTCACTAACATAAGTGAAGGAAGACTTGCAGAACCAATAGCTTCAGATTTTTCACAGTGACATGTCAAAGCCAAAAAAGACTCATTAAAATCAAAAAGATTTCCTTGCCTCGCCAACTCCCCATCAAAAACTCCAATGGCATCCACTCCCCAAAACAGGACCAAAGCTGGTACTCAGTGCAGGAAGAGTTTGATCTCTCTGTCTTTAATTATTTATTTTCCTTAAAATGTCAACCTTTCCTCTGAAATTGTCAAAAATCAGTGGACTACTTAGTTCAATTCAGCACTATTGACTGATTTCAAATGCTGGGCAAAAGGGAATATCTCAAGAAGTACCTGCTCAAATAGATCCTTTTCTTTTCAGCTTTTTTCAAAGTATTCGAACGCAATTGCTGTAAGGATTAGAATAACTAAAGTGAATTGCCAGAAATGACTGTCATACATATTGTGCTACAGTCCTAAAGGAAGGAAGGAAGGAAGGAAGGAAGGAAGGAAGGAAGGAAGGAAGGAAGGAAGGAAGGAAGGAAGGAAGGAAGGAAGGAAGGGAGAGAGGGAGGGAGGGAGGGAGGGAGGGAGGAATTCAACACAGGTTTAGGAAGATTTCACCTATAGAGATACAAAGAACAAAAAAGTGATGATTTCTGAGGATTTTCCTAACGAGGAACAGCCATGGTGAATAATAATTGCAGTTCTATTGTGCCAGATGCATAAATACTTGAGAAATCTTCCTATCATGCATTGTATGCATTGTCCTGTAACCTCACCTTGTCCAGTTTACTACTTTTGATGTCAGTGGTAATTACAGCTTCCAGAATTTAAGCAAAAAGAGAGACCTGGCCTAATGATAAGGGTATCACCCCTTGCCTGGCATCCCTGCACTGGCTGGGTATCCTGAGAATAGTCATCCTGACTCAGGCTGGGGTGGTGGTGGTTGTTAAGTTTAGAATAGGGAAGTATCAGCTATCCCCTATGCCCCAACTTTATGAAATCTCTGTTTCAACCTCAGTGGTGGGGGAAAAATGGGAAATGATTTTAAAAGCAAAAGTGGCATGTTAAGAAAATATCAAGCATGCTGCTCTACCAGGGATGTGGCTTCAGTGAAGTTCACAGCCCCAAGCACCTCTCAAGGACAGAAGAGAGGGAGAAGGGGAAGGGAAAAGGAAAAAAAATAGTCAGGTCTGGTGACACAGTGAGTAACCACAGTATCAGCAGAGCTTATCTGTATAGGCTTCAGTCTGCAGCTATCTGAGGCTCTCAAGGGCGCTGTTTTCCCATATCCTGAGACCAGGTGCGTCTGCCAACCAAGTTCCCACAACTTCATATAGTTTAGTCTGAGTTTTATCTTTGTCTGGAGATAGGCATTTGTTTCATGTTTTTCCCCAGGGACCGCAAAGGATGTTTAAAGAAAGAATTGTAGCTTCTAGA